CATGCAATCGTGGCCCATCGTTCAAAAATGAATGCCCAATCATTCTGCCTGCTACCACAAATAAGTCACTGTCTGCCAAAATCTGAGAAGTAGAAGGCACTAGATGGTTCTCTTGTCCCTCAAAGAGAAGGGTCATGTTGGCTGCACCTGGAGAAGAACAGTACAAGAAAAATAAAAAAGGTATAGCTTTATCTATTGACGTAAGTAGTTGATTAATGAAGTTGTCAAACATGATGCAAATACTTCAATCTTTTTTTTTTTTTTAATTTCTGGAGTAAATTTCTTGATGGATTATTTTAAAAACTCATCTCACATTAATTAAGAAAAGGATATAGAAACATACCGCTATGGATGTTAAAGCCATGTTGCAACTTTAGCATTGCCATGCTGAAAAAATGTCTCTGGACCCCAGTGCCAACAGCTGTGTCACCTATTTTAAAATTGGGAAAAAGAAAAAGACAACAACACAAGTAAAGTTACAAACTGCTTTACAGCACCCTTTAATGGAAAATTCTCATTTACCAAGTTGGAATGTTAAACAGCCTTTAAAGAAACTAACTGAATCTATGCTTCACCATAAGCATTACCTTGTAAAGAACAACGAAAAGGTCCTGCCCAATCAATCTGTGGTCTTTTGTAGAAAGCAATGATCTCTCGGCTCTGGGATGTTTGATCTCATCGAATGTCAATGATAGCTGTGATTTTGGGGTTCTCCTCCTTTTCCTTTAAGAGATGCCTCTTAAACAAAACTGCAGCATCTTGGGGATCACTGGCCTTTTTCCACTGTTCTACTAAAAGATGGCCTCAGCAAGGCTATTATTCACATGTTGGTCCATGCTGATAGAGACACTGTCCAGCCCGATGATGTGCCAGATCTAGATATTCGTTCTACAATTTGGATGGTGAATATTAATTTACTTCAAGCCTTAGTGAAATCATAATTTAAATTAACTCATTTTTATATAAGTGTAAATACCCCCCCCCAAGAAAATGCAGATTTTTTTAGGCAATATATTTGCAACATACTGAAATGGAACTTTTCTCGTCCATAAGCTTGATGGTAATAAACACCTCACTGAGCAGCAGAAGGATGACATTAACGCTTGCCACCCGTCAGTGCAGTAAACCGCAGATGGCAGTTCCAACAGCTTCTCCATCATGCAGTAAGATTGCCCTTTAAAAATTGTTTTTAGATTGTCATCACCTAAGCAAATGTCATGTGGTTATTTTTAATTGTGGTTTTAGGTGATAGGCCGAACTAAAAGGCAGACAAAACACATCAGAAAAGGTCTGAAGGACACCAGATTGTTGACTATGCTTCAACAAAGACCTGACACAGCCTCAATGGTCTTTTTCCGACAGCATTCTTACTGCACAGGTATTTCAATGCATTTCTAAGATGCAGACTACAGTGATAAGGCTAGATGGCATGACAGTTAATGCTGCTTTTAGGGGAGGCTGTAACTCAGGAGGTAGAGCAGGGCGTCTACTGATCAGCAGTTTGTTCAGATCCCTGGCTCCCCGCTCTGTATGAATTTTTGGTAGGAAGTACTGAAAATAAGAATGTGATTGTGAGAATGATAATTATATTAGAAAAATCTTTGAAGGGTCTGGGAGAGTAGAAAAGTAAGAATCAGTCCTTTTACCATTATACGTTAAGTGAGACAAAATGATTGATTGATAATACTTTATTCATCCTGAGGGAAATTCTTTTAAAGGCTGCCAGATAATCCAGTGCCATCATGAGCACCCCATAGAATACACCATATATAAATGCCAAGTGTCGGAAAAAAGTCCCTTCACAAATTTAACATGTAAAAAAACTGTTTTTAAGGCAGTTGCATTCTTAAGTGTGTCTCTGAAATCTCATTTTAGGCTGTTCTTAGCCACATTGTTTGGCCAGGAGATGAGGGCGAAGATGAAGACGATGATGATCCACCTTACCTACTAAGCATCCAAATGCAAACAGTGGGATTTCTGAAGACCTACATTGAAACAGGCAAGTGTAATTGCATTGTGATTCAAAATTTGAATCTAATTTGATTTCTAATGCATTGATTATTTTTACAGCCACTCCATTCCAGCTCAGCCAGCTGATGAGGTTTTGGGTCGGGTGGGAAATTCCGACTGGTACCATGAAGGTTGAAGTAGTCAAAGCAGACTACCTCATATCCTCTACATGTTTTGGAACGTTGCGTGTGCCTGGGCACTTCCACGAGTACAATGTCTTTTCCAAACATGTTGATGATTGCATTGCAACTTGTGCCACAGGTTTCGGCCTTATTTAAAAGCAATTTGTAGACACTGGATGTCGAATAAACTTTACCATGCTTGAAAATTTTTTTACATAGCCAAAAGTTTCACTGTTACTTAGGCTTATTGATTTTTTGGGAATATTGTTATGCGAGTTTAAATATAAAAATTAAAGTTACAGTTCCCACCATTAACATTTATATTTGAAGTTAAGAATGTCAGGGTCCTGGGTCTCCTGACCCAGCGTTTTTAGTTCTTTGTGATTTTTTTGTATTATTGTACTTGTGAGTTATTCTATCGTTTCTAGTTTTGATCCCTTGCCCTTCATGTTTCTCTGTGCCCCCTCTGTTCTGTGTAAGTGTGTCTTTGCATGTTTGAGTTTCTTGTTTTCTGTCACTCTGCATTGTGCATTATGTTCTCATGGTTGGTCTATTGTTACTCCCTCAAGTCTAGTTTCTTGTGTTCCAAGCTTAGTATTTCCCTCTGTGTATTTTGGTTCTTAGACCTCTGCCTTATGGTTTATGTCTCTGTGTTTCTTAGTTGCTGTCTCCACTCGTGTCAAGTTCGCGTCTCTGTGTGATACTTCCTGTTTTACTTGATGGTCCGTGTCTTATGTGAATGCGTCCTGCTTTGCTTGTCTCGTCAGTCCTGATTTCTCCCAGCTGTGCCCTCCTTCTGTGTCTCATTCCCCTCGTTACTTCCCAGTGTATTTAAACCCTGTGTTTCTCTGAGTCAGTGTTGCGTTGTCCCTCAAGCTGTGTGTTTCCTTGTGTGCCTCTCTGCAAAGTGTGAGTTCATATTTTCCCAGTTTAGTGTAGTTTAGTATGCTTGTTTTCTGTGACCAGCAAATAAAGCTGTGATTTTGAGTTCATTCCCTGAGTCTGTGAGTCCTGCATTTTGGGTCCAACTCCTGCCTGCTGCACAGCGATTCATGACAAAGGAACTAATGATTGTGTTATTTAGGGTTGTTTTGTTAACTTAAAGTCATTGTCATGCGTCCGATTCACATCATCTCTTTGTTTGAAGCAGTTTCATGGATTACAAGAGGTGGAAAAAAGTAGATTAATACTAAAGCTGTATTAAATGTTACACACAGTCCAATGCTGTTGAATATAATGTTACTTGATTTACTGTCACCTGTTAAGTAAAACAATCAGACAATTTTCAAAGATTTACACGTTTCTCTATGGATGTGTCATACTCTCCTATTTAAGAAGGGTTTTCTCTGAAGTACCCCGTGGACGTTCCCATGATGACACAGATGACCCACAAATTTAGTATAGCACACTTCAAAACACATAACCCGATGAAGAAAGACTTTAAAAGTCCCTAAACACATTTGACATATGTTAGGGTTGGAAATTTATTTAAGAGTTTACAAAATTATTAAATAACGCTGTTTCATTTTTTTTTTTTAACATGTACACAATGCAAATGTGCTCATAAGCATGTTGGCACTCCATGTTCTTAAGGTTGAGAGCATCATTCAGTGCTGTATTTGAAATATTGCAGGGACACAGAGGGTTTTTTTGTTTTTTTTTTGCAGCATGCTTACTAACACACGATAATGGTTAGATTAGTGTAACACACCCAAAGAAAGATTCTAGGTCTGACCAACTGTCTCTGTCGTGGGCAAAAAGATGACAGTCAAAATTCTAAAAGATAATTTATTGACAAAAAATATATATATCAAGAGATAAAAGATAAAACAGTCCAGTGTCCCATTTATGAATTGTATAAAAAAAACAAAACACAGTCCCAAGGCCAGAGCCAGCTATGCCACACGACCAGTTGCACTCCACGTGTTGCCTTTAACAGGGTTAGAAGTTGTCCTTGGAGACCCACCACCCTGCAAGCATATAGCCAGTGGTCACT